CTAAGACTTTTTTTATGTGTACACAAAAGGCCTATTTCTTTCAAATATTGTTCATAAATCTGTTAGTGAGCACTTCTCCTTTGCCGAGATAATCCATCCTCACAGGTGTGGCATATCAAGATGCTGATTAGACAGCATGATTATTGCACAGGTGTGCCTTAGGCTGGCCACAAAAATAAGGCCACTCTAAAATGTGCAGTTTTACTGTATTGGGGGGTCCGGGGGGGTCCGAAAACCAGTCAGCATCAGGTGTGACCACCATTTGCCTCAAGAGTTGATCAGGTTGTTGATTGTGGCCTGTGGAATATTGGTCCACTCCTCTTCAATGGCTGTGCAAAGTTGCTGGATATTGGCAGGACCTGGAACACGCTGTCATATCCGCCTATCCAGAGCATCCCAAACATGCTCAATGGGTGACATGTCCGGTGAGTATGCTGGCCATGCAAGAACTGGGATGTTTTCAGCTTCCAGGAATTGTGTACAGATCCTTGCAACATGGGGCCGTGCATTATCATGCTGCAACATGAGGTGATGGTCGTGGATGAATGGCACAACAAGTCTTAGATCTTTTAGTTCAGCTCATGAAAAATGGGGGCAAAAACAAAAGTGTTGCGTTTATAATTTTGTTCAGTGTTTTTTACAAGTGACTGAGCATTACAGCCAAACTAATGTCCTTATTTAAAAAAACAAGCCTTACAAGGTAACAAAATATAAAAATAAAAAAGAATGGCAGACATTTAGCCCAAAGAGGTGAAGATAAAAATATTTGTCATTATTTTCTTTGTTATTAAAAGATAACAAAGATACACATTACATATACACAACATATAATATACCAATATATTTTTTTAGCTACAGTAGGTGTATTTAACAGAAGCATCCAAGAAAGAAATTAAATAAACAAATATAAAAATAAAACACTGCATAGACTAAATTATACATTGATACTTATTAAAGCTACTAATAAAGTTCTCAGAGCAGTGAGGGATTTTCTCTTTGTTTTTTGTTGTTTTAGGAACAATATTAGAGTGAGTAAATAAGGACAGAATTAAAAATTTTGGGTGAACTATTAGCCTGGGAAAACCTAGACAACTTCCGGCAAATTTAGGTTTGCTCTGAAAGTTAGTCTGGCAAAGAGCTCATTCAAGCCCATTTCCAATCCATCGAAATCGAGGCACCAATCAGAAACGTTGGGGCGGGCTTTGCATGATGACGACAGCGCTGGGATTTTGAAGCAGATTTTGTAGCCTACATTACAAAGATGGATGCCGCCGTCGAACATCACTCGTTCGAATCAGCTATCGCGTCTGTTTTAAGCGATTTGAACGTTTCCTTTTAGTTAAAAACCGAGCAAAGAACAACACTCGGAGATGATTCTCCACCGCTCTGCATACGTCATCTCCTTCATCGCTCTGATTGGTTTTAGGTCTATCCGCGACGTCCGTTGGTGATGCCCCTCCGGAAATGATTTGTCTATGACGCTTTGCCAGACCATAACTCAGTTACAACTAAGAAAGGTCTGGTTTTAACCAGGCTAGTGAACTATCCCTTTAAGAACAAACGGCAGCATGTTTACTACTACACGGGTCGGACACGAACACGGACACAGGCATGAACACGGACACAGGCACCAACGCAACAAAAAACGTGAATTTGACTTGGTAACATGACACTCACCAACAGACAAACAAACAAAACTAGACAAGATACAATGTAAACATGAGGGCTATTTATACACCAAGACTAATGACTAACAAGAAACACCCGTGAACAATTAATACAGTCAAACAATAAGAATATGACACATAAGACTAGGGAAGCACAAGACATAATTACATGATGGCAAGGGAAACACAAGACAAACAGGAAACATGACTATGAGAATTTCAAAATAATAGACATGAAACATCAACATGAAAAAAAACCTATTTTCAATTTTAATATATTCATATAATGTAAAAATCTAATTTATTCCTGTGGCGGCTTATGGACACCGTCACGGATACCGACATGGAAACCAGCACTGGCACGGACAACGACACCGACACAGACACGGACACACCGATACGACGCGCCAAAAAACGTATATTTGACTTGGTTACATGAGACTCTCACAAACACCACCACGGATACCGGCATGGACACTAGCACAGACAATCACGGACACCGGCGCAGACACACTGACACCGGCATGGACACGAACACAACAGCATGGACACACCAGCACGGACACCGGCACTGACACCGGCATGGACACGAACACAACAGCATGGACACACCAGCACGGACACCGGCACTGACACCGGCATGGACACGAACACAACAGCATGGACACACCAGCACGGACACCGGCACTGACACGAACACAACAGCATGGACACACCAGCACGGACACCGGCACTGACACGAACACAACAGCATGGACACACCAGCACGGACACCGGTGTGGATACCGGCATGAACACCGGCACAGGCACGGACACCAGCATGGATCCCGGCATGGACACCGACATAGAGACGGACACCAGCACTAGCACGGACACACCAGCATGGACACAACACTGGCACGGATGCCGGGATGGACACCGGCACGGACACACTGGCAAGGACACACCCGCACGGACATGAACACCGGCATGGACACACTGGCAAGGACACACCCGCACGGACACGAACACCGGCATGGACACACCGCCACGGACAAGGACACCGGCATGGACACACCGGCACGGACACACCAACACGACGCGCCAAAATTTTTTAATTTGACTTGGTAACATGAGACTCTCACGAACACCGGCATGGACACCGGTACCGGCACAGACACACTGACACTGGCACGGACACCAGCACGGAGATGGACACCGGCACGGCGCGGCACCGGCATGGACACACCGACACCGGTACGGACACTGTGAATGTACGCTGCATTGTACAGTATGTTAGGACGGAGGTGCCAGAACTGCAACTGATAGAATACACTGTAAAGCACGATACTACTATATTTTTTCAAAAGCAGATCATGGAGACATTTTAATCGTCCAAGTCGTGATATCATACACCCCTACTTACAAGTACAAACAACTAAGTTTCCTCCAGTACCTCAGTGGTTCTCAAACCTGTCCTGGAGGACCACCAACACTGCACGTTTTCTTTGTCTCCCTAATCAAACACACCTGATTCAACTCATCAGCTCATTAACCCATGTGATAATGAGCTGATGAGTTGAATCAGGTGTGTTTGATTAGGGAGACAAAGAAAACGTGCAGTGTTGGTGGTCCTCCAGGACAGGTTTGAGAACCACTGCGTATAGATGATCTTTAGGAATAGAAAAACTGAAGACCAGTTTGGAAACAATTTCTTAAGGTATTTTGTAAACAACCATTCGAACAATCATGGCAAATGTTTCGTGAGGACAATATGCCATCTTTGTTCTACCTCCCAGAAGTTTGGAGGGCGTCTCGAGTGTCCTGTTGTAGCCCCAACTTGTCTTCGTTTGTATTAAAAGCTATCAACACTTTCTAATTTCAGCATTTAAGAGAAGACCAAGAGTGAAAATCCTACCCATTCCCTCTTGTTTACCTAAGTGCAACAGCTTAGCGATGTGAGACAACAGCTGCAGGTCACATGTGTCATTTCTCTCAGTGTGCCACCACTAATGCAGTGTGCTGAGGATATGTTACAGGTGCTGAGCTCTGCGACACATGGCAGATGAGATGAAACAAGTAGCAGCGGCCTTAAGCTTCCATGAAAGAGAGACTGCGGCGAGAGAGATTCATGCCACTTCGTCAAAGCAATTACACCACTTCAAACTATTTACACCACTTTTTGGTCTGAGGTCCAAGACCACCAACTATTTAAGTCATTTAACTGCCTAAAAACCAAATGAGAGGCACAGTTGTGTGGGAGGAAAAAAAGAAAAAGATTTTTTGCTGAACATGTTGCATTGTTTCCAATTCTGATATAAATACTGTAAAATATTTCAGGGAAAAAAAATTACCAATTAACATTCAACATTTAACTACCCCACATGCTCTTGACAACAATTTTCTTACCATGTATGAATAAAATTCACATTATTTTTTGTTATGTGGCAGAAGGATGAACCCAATAGCTGACCACAAATAATACAAACAGGGGTTTATTGATGACAAAAACAGAAAACAAAAACCCACGAGGGGGCAAAACAGGACAGATGGGGCAGTACAACTAGACTAAGACAGGAAATAAACTAGGACTTGATACTGACAAGATGAAGAAAACAAACAGCTACATAAACTCACAATTCTTAATACAATATTCAGACAAAGTACTCACAGGACTCTCACAAAGAATAACACGCACAGGTTGACAATGTACCGACACAGGACAGCAAACACAAGGGGATAAAATAGGGAGACACTAATGACAAAGACAGGTGAAGCAGACTAGACAAGGACAGGTGAAACTGACTAGACAATAATGACGAGACGAGGATAACAAGGGGGCGGGGTAACGTAACGAGACAACACAAGCACATGGCTGAAAACACAAGACCATGTCCTTGCACACAAAACATGATTCTGTCATGATCCTGCCTCAAGACTAGAGAAAATCAAGGACACCAGGGCAGAATCATGACAATTTTTATATTTGAATCTTAATAAGTAGCTACATATTAAAATAAAACATTCTATTCCTTTTCCAATTTCCAAAATCTGTAATGAAGCCACCAGTGAACCATCTTTTGTCAATGTTATTTTATTGTATTATTCATTTTTTCCTTTAAGAGTCTTCAAATATCTACATTTTACTTTTATTGGAAAAAAATTAAAATATGTGCCTTCATCAAAACATGAACTTTAATACAATTAAAAAACAAGATCAAATAATAATTCTATAAATTGCCAGGCAATTATACTGAATCCTGAAAAACCAAACAAAATTGTTTTTTTTTTAAAATAAATTCAAGATTTAAAACAAATAAAAACAAATGATCATAAATAAAAAACCTGTCCTTGCAATAAAACATAACATTGTAAATAATCGTAAAAAAGAGCAACCTTAAAACTAGTGTTTCCAGAGAAATTTCTCATTTTTTTTCCAAAGTTGCGAGCTTTCGGTTTTCTCATTACTCCTGGACTTTGCAGAGACACTAACGCTGTTACAGATCTTCTCCACCTCAGTCAGATCTGTGAGTTTGTTAATGCTCTCCACATTCCCCTCATTCAAAATGTCCCAGAAGTCCTTTCCTCTACTTTTTGCTCTTTCTGTGCATGTGGATGTTTTCACATCCCTCGGTTGGTCTACGGTTTTCTTCTTTGACTTGAACAAGTCATTCAGGATGGATGTGTCACCTATAAGGTCTGTGATTTTGGAGGAGCTGCTGGTCTGGGTTGAGCTTGATGCAGCACAATCATCTGTGGAGACTAAAGGTGACCGTGAAGTGTATTTCTTGTTCTTGAAAGGTTGTGAGGAACTAATAATGTTGGTTTTAGTTTCTTCTACTGGTGCACTGGATCTTTGAGAAAGATGCCCAGAACTTGATGATGGGTCTTTGTCTGTGGAGGACATCTTCATTTTGTTGTTTGTGAGGTCTGTACTGCAGTGAACGTGAACCTCAGAGGTTTCTGGTTCACCCATTCTCTTTTTCTTTGACGGTTCTCTTTGATCCTCAACTTCAAGGGTTGGTACCTCAACTTGAGGTTTAAGAGGGGAGTTTCGGTGGGCTCTTTTTGAGGTAGTTCTTTGTCTGGCTGTAGAAGGTGGCGGTGAGGTGGGTGGCTTTGGCTCGACGTCGGGTTTAGGAAAGGTCTTTTCGGTGATGTTCTTGAGTTCAGGGCTCTCCTGGCTGTAGTAGCTTCGCAATCGGCTTAGTCTCTGCTCTGAATCGTTCTTCAGAATGTCTTCTGCAAAGTCTCGCACAGTGTCGAATCCAAAGAACTGAGACATTTCTTCCAACTGCTGTCTGCGAGACAAAATATTATCTTAATGACACAAATCAACTTATCTTAGGCCCTGTTTACATCTGGCATTAAGATGGGATTTGGTCGATCGGATCACAAGTGGACAAGAGAGACATACCCGTTTACAACTGGTGTTTTAATCCATCTCTATTTTCCACTTTCAACCACTTCTGTCCTGGGCCCGTATGTATAAAGCCACTCAGAGTAAAATTTTAGTCTCAAGTCGGTCAAAATTCTAAGAATTACATAATTTTACTCTTATTCCTAAACTTAAGAATAAGTGTGATTCATAAAAGTTCCAAAGTGCTAAGACTTGGTCTCAGCTCCTAAATTATTTAAGAGAGCTGGAGAGGTCTCCTAACCTAGTTAGGAGTAACAAGATGGCAGCAGAGAGGTTAGGCCATGCACTTTTCAACGAAAATATGATGTATTGTAGTTAAATGAGTTGATCAAACAATAAAAAAAAAAAGTTTAATCATCAAGGTATTCTTTTTGTAACTTACCTTTAAAAAGTTTCATAGCAATGAAATTAAAGTAATAATTATATTTTTGGCGACTGGAGAAATGCAGCAGTGCACCTGTGATGATATATTTATTTTAATGGCTGGTGAGCCAAAGACAATTTTTGTAAAGATATTACAATTAAAAAGCTCACAGGAGAAAAAAAAATCATATATTGTCTGCAACATAATCATTTATTAATATTTGATTTTCCTCTCTTGTTTTTTCACCTGTTCATAATTTATTTGTATGACAGCTTAGCTAAAAATTACGTCAATTTGGAATGTTTCATTGTGTTATCACAAATAAACAATTGACTCCAGGCACAACTACACAATACGCCTACAAAATATTGAACACATTTTTAATACTATTTGAATAAAGGGTGAATCTGACAATTTTCCTTCAATACTAAGTTGTGATAATTTTGCACAATGCAAAGCCATTTAAAAAAATACATTTCAATATTAAAGTTTCAGTGTCTTAATTAAATTATTTTATTATAATTACATTAAATAATTGGTGTCATGCTGCTGTGACCTCACCCTTGCAGGCTCACTATTGGCTGATTCAGAGGTTGAGGGCGGCCATTTTGGGTTCACATCATTGTAGTCCTTAGTTTGCAGCACTTAAGTCCCACTTCAGTCAGCACTTAAGAATCAGTCTTATACTTTACTGAAAGTTGCTTTTAGCTGCTTTATAAAAGTCTCCTACTCTTAGAAAAGTCCTACTCTTTACTAAGTATTTTTTTACACTTAAGTCAAAGCTTAAGACTATTCTTAAGATCATTTCTTAGAAGTTTTATACATACGGGCCCTGATTTTTTTGAGGGGAGGGTCTAGGGCAGATAAATCTATGGGCTTTTTTCAAATCTTTCGATCTAATGGATGAAATAAGCTCACGCAATTTACATATGAACACGGCCAGAGATGATGGGAAAACGTACGGAGAGCAGTAGCTTTTGTTTGTGCTCAACCAGAAGATCACGCCGAACGCGGTGAGTGCATGTTAGAAATCAGGAATAGTGAGAGAACATTGTACTTGGTACGTTTTTCGTCTTGGGTCTCCAGTCGACAAAGTTTAAATCCCTTCTGGCTAGCGCACTTCCCATAATATGCATGTATTAGGCCGTAGATATAGGTTACCGATGTGCAGAAAGGCCAGGTATAGTAAGAGTTGTGTTCCTGTATCTATACGAGCTCTAAATACATAGGAAATCGGCCATTGATACGTCACATATGCTCTCTTTTTATGTTGTTTTGTGATGTCAGCGATTATATTTGATTGTATTATGATATGGCGATAATTTAACATGTTATGTGTGTTTGTGTTATGTACGCATCTACGGTGGAAACAAATTTCCTCACGAGGACAAGTAAAAATCTATCTATCTAGGTCAGTAGGAGAGCAGGTGGTCTTTTGGGGCTGTTCGAATGTATTCGACCACAAAGCAAAGCAAAAGTCAAATGCGTTTTCCACTACCTTTGGAAGTGGTCAAAAGTGGACAAGCTCAAAATGATAAATAAGAAAAGAAAAAATCTAGTTTAAAACACATGTGCCAAGTTCTTAAAGATGTACTCTTTGTATTCACGTTGGTTTCATATGGTTTAAAAAAAAAACGCTTTATTAACATCAAGTATTTGAGGAGTGATATTTTATAACCGTGTTATAAAAAGGTCAAATTATCTTTCATATTTTAAGACACACAGTCATGAGGGTCTGCAGGGTCTTCATATGGGGTCCACATATATCATTACCTGTTTTGTTTTGGGATTTTTTTTCTGAATGTTTCTGCAAGTTGGTTAGACCACACAACGTAGGACTTGAAATATTAATAAGCAGTTAACTTAAAAAATTTAGTGTATTATAAAATTCTAAGAGATCGTTTTATACTCCATGCATTGCAAAATACAGGCAGGGAGCAAGTTTATGACAGCCTGTATATTATATCATAAGACCACAGCCCATAAGTTACAGCATAATAAGAACCAGAAGATTTTCTTAATGCTAAAACACGTGACATGAAACACACTCTTAAAGGGATAGTTCACCCCAAAATGAAAATTCTGTCACAATTTACTCGCCCTCATGTTGTTGCAAACCTGTATGACTTTCGTTCATCTGTGTAACATAAAAGATATTTTGAGATTTTTGCGGGGAAATGGAACATTCTTCCAAATATCTTCATTTGTGTTCTGCAGAAGAATGTCATAAAGATTTGGAATGACAAGCAGAGGAGTACATAAATTATGACAGTATTTTTATTATTTTTGGGTGAACTATGCCTTTAAGATGAATTGAACAATGAACCCCATTTTAAAACATAAAACAACAACCCAGAAAATTCAGTGTAAGGGTCTTTAAGGAAAACCACTTAGTAATTTGAAACTGAAAGAGCTCACAAGCTGCTTGTGGCGTAACTTCTAATGGTTGCCACCCTTTGTGGTTTCAAAGCAAAAACTATCTATGAAGCAAGACCCTTAAGTATGTGTCTGAGTGGAGTTGAATCCCATTACAGCAATTCATCAAGAAAAAGACATTTTATATACTAGTGTGTGTGTGTGTTTTCACCATTACATGAGCAAACAGTACATTTGTGCGATTGTACTGAGGAGAAAAGCAGAATAAAGAGGGGGTTTTGCTTATTACTTTGGCCAGACTTGGGAAATGGGTGGGTGAGAGGGCTCCGGGGTGGTCTTCCCTTGCTCCTGCAGCCCCAGGGGCCAGGCGGGGGCAGCACACCATAGCTGTGGGGAGAACTGGCACATGGCCCTGCGCTACCAGGAATTTCCTCTCACTGACTTGCTGTTCTAGTGTTGAGTTTTTAGCCCAATTGACACAATTATTTGCTTTGTGTGGAGATGACGGCTAGTCGGATCTTGTGCGGGGAGAAAAGCGAGGGATTTGAAGCAGAAAATAGTTTTACCTGCACATGCTACTGGGTGTTTCGCCCACTATGACAGTGACATTGTTCTGGCGGTAAGAGGTTTTGATGGTGTGGGTGACCGGATGCTCCATGTGGGGTCTGCCATATGCTAGCGGTGTCTGACCTCCATCGCTGTGATCTGCGAGTAAGGGATCAGATGACTGGGTGGAAGTCTGTTACACAATAAATACAAAGTATGTTAGAATTGGACTTATTTAACAAATCTTTACCCAAAAATCGTGAGTCTAGTACAGAATCTTTTCCCAAATTATTCTTCTTCTTGGTTGATCACCCAAAAATCCTATCTGGAATTTCAAACTTCTTATTAATTATTGTTAAAAAAAATTAAAACCACATAACCGATACGGATAAGTATTATGCTGTGTGCAACGGTGGAAAAATGGTACGTAGTAGATATGTATCTGCAGTGGATTTATACCACAAAATGTATAATTTAAACACCTGAGGACAAACTAGCTGAACTGGCTTTATTTCACAACATCTTAAAGCAAATAACCAACTAATGCTCTGTCTCATGCAGTAGTTCCTGAACTGCAGAACTGAATCTCCTGTGCCACAGCTAAAGAAATTATATTTCACATAAATTGTGATTTTCCACTCTGAATTTAATGTAATGAGATAAAAAGCACCATGAAATAATGCGAAAACAATACATCTTTCAGTTAAACTATCTTGATTCCACTCAAAAAAGAGCCTGTTCTTTTAATAAATCACTCAGAAAAAAAAGTTACTGGTCTCAACCAGTCTGACAAATCTTTCACCAAATGAACGCATCGAATTGGAGCAGTTACTGAATCAACATTTGATTCACTCACTAAACAGAAGTTTTTATATTCAGTCATTTCTGACAGCAAAAGGTTTGTGTAAATAAGTTATTTAAATGACAGCACGTACTTGTGCAACAGTTTTTTTTGTTAATAAATTCTATTTAGAAATTTGATTCACTCACTAAACAGAAGTTTTTATATTCAGTCATTTCTGACAGCAAAAGGTTTGTGTAAATAAGTTATTTAAATGACAGCACGTACTTGTGCAACAGTTTTTTTTGTTAATAAATTCTATTTAGAAATTTAGAAAAATAATATTAATTTATATATATAAAAAAACATCTCTAAAACATTCAAATGTTACCAAGATAGATGCTTTTGATAGTTAGTTGAACTATAATACCACACACAAAAAAGTGTGGCAACTCTTAGTGAGTTCGGTATATAAAACTTGTAGAAACCTCTGATGAATCCAGAATCTGGTTTGCAGGAAGCTGTGAGTGCTTGTTGAGTTCAAACACATCTCGTACGGCAGCACGGCTCAGGCGGTCTTCTGCTCTGCTGGAGCCCACTACCTTCTGATTTGAGTGGGTGTAGCTCACGTGCTGAAGTCCACCTGTCAGAGAAGTCAAAACACTCAAGTAGATTGGAACAAAGAGAATTGGAGCACATTCAAGATGACTTCAATCTTCTCAAAATGTCAAAACTTTTTATTGACTCAGTTCTCTCTATTCATTTCATATACAGAGTCAATAAAAAGTTGACATTTTGAGAAGATTGGTTTCTGAAACACCTAATGGAGAAACCAATCTTCTCAAAATGTCTAACATTTTAATTGACTTTTTATTAACTGTTATTCAGTTATTGTAAATTAATGTTACGTGCACTTTTTATTTATTTTTATTATTTTTATTTGTGTTTGTCCTGGTAAACCCTACGTTTATGGGGACAAAATGTCCCCACAAAGATGGCAATTTTCAAAATCCTTGTCTTTTAGGGACATTATTTTGTCTACATGAGGAAAACAGCTTATGATTAAGGCCTAGAATATACAGTTTGTACAGTATAATAATCATTATGTCTATGGAAAGACCTCATAAAACATGGAAACCCATCATGTGTGTGTGTTGTTTTTCTTAAATGTTTTTTTTTTGTTTTTTTGGTTAAATCTATTTTTGGATTATTTAATTATATATTATGTTTGTGATAATTGGTCAAAAATCAATAAGTTTACACTTTATTTTAAGGTGACAGTTACATTGTCCTTACTCAAAAAAGTACATGTACTTACTATAGAGTTAGGTTATAGGTTAGGGTTTGGTTTAGTTACTTGTAATTATGCATAATTTACGGTTATTACTATAGTAAGTACATGTAGTAACGTGTAACTACTTCATCTTAAAATAAAGTGTTACCATCAATAAAGATACTGAATATACAAGATTATTTTAAATCCAGGTAAATATTCCAAGTTATACCTAACAATGAGTCCAGAGTTCCGGTGTTTCCTTCATCTCTGGATTGGGTTTTGTTAGAGCCTAATGTGTTTCGGCTCTTTATGCCAAAAGACATTTGTGTAGTGTTGTCCTTCCCAGAAGACCATCTGTGAGTTGACTTATTCTCCTGAGGAGAAGGACCCTTCATACATCTCACGCCTTTCTGAGGCACTTCATCTTCTGATGAAGAAAAACTTTCAATATCAACTTCAGATCTTTTATCTGCAAACTTCACCCTTTTGTGAACATGATTCTTGCCACCAGTTGTGCTGTCATTGTTGTGTTTGTGTGATCTTGGTGGAAGGAGCTCAAGGTCTGCTGACACTTCTGATATTCTCTGTGGTTTACCCTCCATCCCTTCCTCGGATTCAATGGACAGATCCAGTGTCTTAGATGCTTGTCCCTTAATCGTGGTGGGTTTTGCATAGTTATCCTCATCCTGACTCTGACTAAAGTCCCCTTCACTGTCAGTCTCCTGCAATCCTCTCTGAGTCATTTGTTTCTGGAGAACACTATACAGGCCCATATTGCCAATACAGGAAGTACCAGCTCCTGTCTGCTCTCCTGTGTGTGTTTCTGAGGGCCTGGAGCAGCAGGGATCTTCATCCTCACTTGCACTGCTGAAGTCCAACACCCCAGCGGTTTTAAGCCCAGAGCCTGCTGATCCACCTGTTCGCTCAGTAGCAGCATCTGCTGACCGGGGATCCTGAGGTAAATCAAGATGGTTCATTAGTTTTATGCAGAAGATGTTTTGTTTAGTTTTTTAACTATCAACATCGCTTTGATTATTTGCATAAAAATATGAAAATTAAGGACACAAACGATTTAGTGAGTTCTTCAAACAGGTGTTATAGTTGTATTTTTGCTTTGAAGGTTTTGATTATTTTTATCTGGAAATTTTGTTCTATTTTATGTTGTGTTTTTTTCACTGTAGGGTAAATAAAAAAAATTGGGCAATTTGCGGGCACCAGTTTCTCTTTTCCATCTTTATTTTTGTATTATTATATCTCAAATTATTTGTATCAAAATTCTGCAACATATGTATATATAAAATATACATATACAGTATATATTTTTCCCACTCTCTCTCTCTCTCTCTCTCTCTCTATATATATATATATATATATATATATATATATAATATTCACAATATGCCAATATACCACAATTGCTTCCTGCATCTGGTATAACATAAAAAAAAGTTGAAAATTGCTTAACTTATTTTGATGAGTTAAGCAATATGTAAAAGCATATGTTGTCATAGCTCATTGATCATATAATTTTTTACAGTGTAGTGATCTAAACTGAATGTGATAAAATAATGGCTGTCAAATAATGACAAGAAAATAAACAAACAAAACAACTGCAATGCTTAGAAAAAACTGAACTCTGCTCTCAACCAAGGAAGCGTCATCCTTTACATAAATTTATATTTCACACCAATCTATATTGAAATGTCTATTACAGTTTCTTAATGGATAACATCTAAAACACATTACATACAACTTTACCACACTTTAATGATAGCGACATCCAGTTTTTAGCAAAAAATTGATTTTAACAAGCCGAGACGTTGCAGTCAGTGCCCATCCTCTTCAGAAAATCAATGTGTGAGGTTCTTTCCAGAAGAACAATTAGATAAGGCCTCTGCTGAGTAAATAAATGTGGTAAAGATAGTATGTTTCTGTGTGGTCTTCACCACTGGGCTTCAGAGGGGGTTGATTACGACCATGTGTTCGCCCGTCATGCCGTGGGAACAGACAAATGATGGGAAAGAAGAGGGGAGGGATGGGTGGGAAAGAGAAACGTTTCAGTCACGGGTCTGTGACAGGGTGGGTACTCACTGGCTCCTCCATCCTCTCGTCCAGAGCTTGAGTTCTGGCCGTCATGATTCCCACCTCCACTTGGCCCTCCCTCTGTAAGCCAAACACGCGATTCCCATCATGTCAATGAGAAGGAATTCATTTCATATAAACAGTTCATTAAAGGCATGTCATTAGGGATATGTATGATCAGCTGGGCCCTTACAGACAGTAAAACTCTGTAGATAGTTTCCACATGCTCGTCAGAACCTCTGAATTACAAGTTCATGATGTGCCCTAAAAATCTAAATTAATTTCACAAGACTAGGGCTGGAAAACTGAACAATATAACATTTATCAAATATATATATAGAACTAAGACACTGGGCTTGGATGCGGATTTTGGACGTTTTTTACCTCCAGGATGCGATGGGTAAGACATGTGCCATCAGTCTGCAGGCGGAAAAGGTTTCGGGTACCAAACAGCTCCCCTGCCTTGCTGTCAGTACCCTGAACCGCCTCAAAGTAGCGTCTAGCATTCTCCTGGCCAATCACTGACAACTGAAGTTGCTGTCAAGCAATAAAGGAGAGAAAAACAAACAGGTCTCAATAAATTTTACATACTTTTAGTGTATTCATATGTAATAGGTAGGTGTAATGATGAGGGAGCTAAAACTAAAAATGCTCACAACCGCAAATTACTGTTAAACTGTATAGGAATGATATCTTCATACACCTTTCCTGAAATGTACATTTTTTATCAACATACCTGTTTGTAAATCTGGCGCAAGTATATGATCTCCTCTACCGTTCCTAAAGAGATGAGTCTAAAAACGGTCACATCCCTGCACTGGCCAATACGATACGCCCTGTAAATTGAAATAGGATTCATACAAGTCTTATTGGGACCTTGATAAATTCCATACAACCTGCAAATGTAAACTACTGTTCAAAAGTTTAGGGTCAGTAAGATTTTTTTTCATGTTTTTGAAAGTAGTCTCTGTAAAACGGTAACATAGTGAATTTATTACAATTTATTTAAAAAAAAAAAAAAACTATTTTAACGCATTTTATTTCTATTGTAAGATTTTGTATTTCAGTCATTAGATTCATTTACATTGTGACTCTGCCTTAGATTTAATCAACTATGCCTTAGATGTAATCAACGCTATCTGTGTCTGTAAAGGTGTGAACCAAATGGCCCATACAGATGTTTGGCCTATAGAAACCGAATGGCCCATACAGGTGTATGGCCCACAGAAACTGATTGGTGTGAATGACAAAGAAACAGCATTGCTAGTAGAGTAGATTGCAGGGTAGATCTATCTCCTGTGGGAGGCCCTAACAGTTTTCTATTGTTTGTAGCCCATTCGTCTTCATGTATAAAGTTCTGTCTCACAGACAGAACTTTGGGTTAAGATTGTTGAAAGCCAACATGCTAATATCGCTGCTGAAAGACTGCTACACTACAAACCTTCAATAAATTCTTCTCCCCACAAGAACTCTGGTTAAGCTTACTTATTTTATGTATTGGAGAAATCTAATACATTGGCGAGCCACCAAAACCACTGCTCGGCCAAATACATCAAAATCTAACACTATTTAATAGTGTGATGATTAAACTGAAAATTCAGCAGCCATTACTCTATTCTTCAGTGTCACATGATCCTTTAGAAATCATTCTAACATGCTGATTTGCAGACTAAAAGTATATTTTTTTAAATTCAAACCTTTGAACATTAGCATTGAAGAATTTTAAGAATGTTTGTCAATATTTAATACTCAAATGCAAATACCTAATCATATGAATATTTCCTTTTTATTTGCTCACCTGTCAATAGCCTGAAGATCATTGGCAGGATTCCATGTTGGATCAAACAAAATGACAACATTCGCTCCGATGAAGTTTAGGCCAAGCCCACCCGCCCTACAAAAGAAGCATGAAGATCAAAATCATTGTAAATCAGACTGTCATGTTGTCATAAATTTTGGGAGATCTTGTAAATAACAGGCATTACGAAACATAATAGCTTTTGGGGCCACACTCACAAAGTAGACACCAGACACAGGTTGACATCTCGAGAGCTGTTGAACTCTCTCACTATCTTAACTCGGTCCTTAGACTTGGTGTTTCCATCCAGTCTGTGGTACTCCAGACCCTCGGCCATACAATAGCTTTCCAGAACATCTAACAGCTGTGAAAGTATAAAGAAAGGATTGTTTAACCTGATTCATATTTAATAAAATTAGGAATGTCAATCAATTAAAATTAATTGCAATTCTATATTTCAATAAAGATTCACAATTATATAAACTGATGAGCCCAAACATTATGACCAGTCAGAGGTGAAGCGAATATCGTTGATCATCTCTTAACAAGGCCACATATTAAAAGGTACAATAGGTACGATTTTTGTAATAATATATCCAAAAATCACTTGCACAGTGTGATATATTTCCTGCAATTGTGTACTTACAATATCCCAAAAGTTCCCAAAGAATTTTTAATTTCAGAGAAATTCCTAGTTTAAATAATGGCTTGACCCTGGTCGTCACCTGTCAATGACTTAATATCCGCGTTATCCCTGGTTTCCGCTTGTACTGCCATAGTAACTATGTTAATAGTAACATAGTAAATATAAATCATTTTGCCAAGTAAAACATGTTCCTGGATCAAAATGATTTGTTGATCCTGGAACAATATTCCTGTCCGAAAATGTAGACCTAACCCTATCCCTACCCCTAAACCTAACCCTACCCCTACCCATAAGTTATCCCTAAAATCAGAGGGAAATGATGGGTGAACACTGATGTAGAAGCACTTAACCCTGGTTGTAAGCCTAATCTTGACAAACTGTAAACTTGTCTCTCAAATATGATTGGTTGATTGAAATGTTGTTTCAGGAACATGTTGCACTTGGTGAAATCACATTCACCATATATATAAACATTTTTAATATACATAGGAAATTTTTTTTAAATAGCATAGCAAACTTTTTATAACCAGCTCACCTTGGTGGAAAGAGAGAAGAGTAGAACTTTGTCTTTCTTCGCGATAAAGTGATTTAGTAGCTTTTGCAGAACCTGAAACAGGAAGAAAAACAGGACACGCTTTTCAAAATGATGATGGGAGCAAAGACAATCTTGCTTATCATAACACGCGAAAACACGCATGCTTTTCATTTAAATTGTAATGAGAAATAACACGTCAGTCAGTGGCCACTGGGTAGAGATTAACAGAGCAGGCTGTGTCTTTTCTTTCTATTGCTGATGTTTCAGAAACCAACGGCCATTCTTGTGAGGATGCCAGTAACTCAGCATCTGCCAATAACAGCACCCTCAAGATGCTCCGGCTAAAGGGAGGGGGAAACCTTTGAAAGGAAGGCCTGAAGAAATGTTAAATACTGTCCTTGTTATTTCTCAAGGAAGTGTATCCACAGCCTCTGAGGGAAGACAGCTCAGGGCCAGTGCTAGCCACAAGAGGGTTTATTAATCTCCATATTGCCAGGGAAAAATCCGGAACGGACTGGAAATGAAGATATCTTGGCGAAGCAAACTTTCTATGCTGTCCGTTTGATGATGTGGGCACCCCTGATTCTAATAACTGTAATATGCAACTCAACATACTTTTACACTCAGGGCTCAACAATGAGGATGGGATATATTTATCTCGTACATTATTTATGTCTTGCCAAATTAAAACAATGTATTCAATATTGTTGTTGGAAATTCTGCTGATGTGTCACCAAGATAATGTGTTGAAAACTGCAAAACAATTAGTAATATTTTCCATCATATGCAGGCCAGCAAAAGTGTGTTTATGAAGTTATAGAGTTAAATTATAATTATGTAATTTTCAGCATTTTGTAGAGAAAAATAATAATTATAATAAACAGAAAGAAAGATTTACGCTTAATGAAAACTAGCAAATATAAAATTGCATTGTTAAAAATAAAAATTGATCATTCTCTTTTGTGGTGTGATGAGTCAATGAAAATGTTGGCTGGGCAAGTAAAGAACTGAAATGAAAAAAAGCCCTAACAGTACTCCAATTTAATATACAATTATTGTGTGAAATAACTCAAAATCTGGTTCTTGATCATTAGGGAAAATGCCTCACCTTCATTTTTCCACTGTACATGGGATCAGACATTGCTTCAAATGCTGCTTGTTTGCACCTTTCTGTGAAATCTGGAAATTTTTTAAAAACTTGCTCGCAAATGGCGGTCACATACTTTTCCTGTGATTGGAAAAATTGCAAAAATATTTACAGAAAGATAAAGGATGATGATAAACACAATCTGTTCTTGATGGACCGAGTCCATTTGAGCCATTCTTAAATACATTCAATCAAACCTCAAATCTGTTTGAACAGACCAGTTGTACTGATATACACTGATAATAATAAGACATGTTTCAAGAGCAGCAGATCAGCATATTAAAATGATTTCTGAAGGATCACGTGACACTGAAGACTGAAGTAATGGCTGCTGAAAATTCAGCATTGCCATCACAGGAATACATTATATTTTAAAATATATTCAAATGGAAAATAGTTATTTAGAATTGTAATCATATTTCACACTATTATTATTTTACTGTATTTCAAAAACATTCCAAATCTTATAGACCCCAAACTTTTGAACGGTACTGTACATGACAACAAACCTTCACTATTCCCACTACACCCAATTACTAACCTGTTTTTTGCTGGTTCCTTCTTTGGACTGCAGTAGTGCAACATGATTTGCAACCTTTCTCAGTATAGCCAGATAACTGAAGTACAGGTTTCTGACCGGCACACCGTCTGCGTTCAGTTTGTAGCAGCACTTCTTCCGTAGACGGCCACTGCCACAGTGACACTTTCCTGAGCTCAGCAACAGCAGGTTCACATCGTCTGTATCCAGCACTGCTCGGTACACCGTCCGCTGGAAGTCTGTGAGTGAGCAATAGACAACCTGGAGAGGGACAAGACCAGAAGAAGTGCAGATCAGAGCATGTACTATGAGATACCATATTAAATCAGTTGGTTTCTTCGACTTGAACTAACTCACTCGATCATCTTTCTTAGGTAGCTGGTCACTGATAATGGCCTTTGTTCTCCTAAGGAACCAGTGTGAGAGTTTTTTGGCAAGTTCCTGAACTGCTTTACGGCCTTCTGCTAGAGCTCTTTTTGTCACAGTGTGCCTCTGCCCCTGCTCAATGGGGTCCGAAAACCTGTTTTTGAAACCTGCCAGAGAACTCAGGCATCCAGGAATGGCCCTATGACACGAAAGTGTTTTAAACAAACAAATGGAGAAATTATCATTATCATGAGGTAGTATAATGGCACAAAAATATACAAACCCCAGTAAACGGTCTACAAAAGCATCCCAGTCAAAATGGAGCTCAAGTACCTCCATCAGGGTTAAAATGAGTGGTGCTTTCTGAGTGTCTCACCAGTCCATAACACACCACAGCTCCTCAAGGTTGTTCTGAAGAACTGTTCCTGTCAGTCCAACCCTCACTTTACATCTCATCTCCTTCATGGCCTGAGTGATCTGGGACCTGTGGTTCTTTATTTTGTGAGCTTCATCAACGATAACGGCAGCCCAATCAATGCTGTACAAAATCAAACATTACATTGTGCAATGTGAAAAAGATGAGTCATCATTAATTGAAAGAAAAGCAGAAAAATAAATATGTTGAAAACTACTATGTTGGCTACAAAATGACCCATTAACTTTGTACAATGAATGTTTAAATATGATAAGAAATAATCATTTTGACAGGTAAACATTTTGAAATATACACAATATAACTGAATACCATGCAAAAGTTTTGGGACAGTAAGATTCTTTTTTATTATTAATCTTTTATTTGGCAAGGACATATTAAAGTGATCCAAAGTGAAGGTAAAATGGTAATGTTACTGTAAATGCGGTTCTTTAGAAGTTTCTATTCATCAAAGAATCCTGAAATTTAAGCGGCACAAGTTTCTTCAACGTTGATACATTATTAATAAGAAATGTTTTCTGAGCACCAAATAAGCATATTAGAATGATTTACCAGGAATAAATTACATTTTTAAATATATTCAAATAGAAAACAATTATTTAAAATTGTAATAGTGTTTTACAATATTACTGTTTTTACTGTACTTTTGTATAAATACACCCTTGATGAGCATAAGAAAACATTTTAAAAGAAATCGGTAACACTTTATTTTATGTCAGTTACATATGTTGCATCTAGTCACTATAGTAATAACTATAAATTATGCATAATTACATGCAACTAACCCTAAACCAAACTAAACCCAAATCCTAACCCTATAGTAAGTACATGTAGTTACTTAATATTAATCAGTACTTAAATGTATATTTACAGTTTAACAATCGACACCTTAAAATATAGTGTAACCGTAAAAAAGATCTTACCGACCCCAAACTTTTGAACAGTTAAGTATATATATATACATAAAACAAAACATAAAACAAACTGGACTCAGTGTGAACAATATACCTGTTAAACTGGTCCAAACAGAGTCTGAGGGTCTCATAAGTAGTAAGAGCAATCTCACATCTTCCTCTCTGCACACGCACCAGTTCTTCATCCTTCCTCACACCATGCACGACCACAACTCTAAAATGACCCCAAGTGTCTAACTCATCTTTCCAGTTGTAGAGGACAGAGAGCGGAGCCACAATGAGGAAAACCTAAACAGAATCAAACAAACAAAAATAGCCTACTACTAAAAGCAGGGTTCTGTCACTTCTGTCTAGTCTATTTGTTGGTTTTGTGACAGAGCCCTGACACTCCTGTTTTGTCTTGTCTGTGTGCCCTGTTTCATGTGCTTTCATGTTGTCATGTTTTGTGTGAACACGTGGCTTATGAGTGTTCTCATTGGCTGCATTCATGTCTCTTGTTTTGTGTTAGCACATGGCTTGTGTTTTGTTTTACTGGCCGTGTGCTTGTGTTTTAGTCATGTTTGGTGTGAGCACATGGCTTGTCATGTATGTTTCCTTGTGTGTCATGTGCCATGCCATTTTGTTACCTGATTATTGGTTAATTTGCCCCACCTGCCTTCCCCCATTACCCTCTTTTGTTTGCTTCCCTATTTATTCTCCTTGTGTTTGCAGTCCTGCACTGGTTCGTCGTCTAAGCTACCCTCATGTTTCCTGTTCCTGCCAAGTCCAGTTCTTGTAAAGTCTTGCTGCCTGTCTTGTCCCCCCCCCCACGGGGTAGTTTTTGTTTTAGTTTATGCATAATAAAAGCCCATCATTTGAGTCCTCGCTACTTTCATCAACCCAAACCCTGACACTTACCTTCTGAACTTGTTCTGATGGCTTCTGTGACAGCAAAAACTGTGGCCTGTTGTTCTCAACGTCTTTCCATGTACCAGTTTTCTGCAAAACTGCAGCTAGGAAGCCGATGACCTAAAAAAAACAAAGGAAAGAGGAACAATGAGCAGTATGTATGTAGTATACATAGTATATATGTAGATATGCGTGCATTTACCTGAACAGTCTTTCCAAGACCCATGTCATCACCCAAGATGCATCCTCTGGATTTGGCATAGTTATGATAGATGAATTGAATGCCCTCTCGCTGATAGTCTCGTAAATATCGATTGATGGTGTATGGAACTTTTACGTCACTTCCTGGCAGCAGAAATGGCTCAGAAGTACCTGGAGGTGTCTGGTTACTGTGGAAAAGAGGCCTCTCATCCTCAAACTGAGGACTAGATGTTCTGGCATTCCAGCCCTTTGTAGATGAGCCTTCCTCCTCCATCTCCATCAAGACAGCGTTCGCATCAATACAGGTGCTAACTAGATAATGGCTTGTTTAGTTGTGACAGGCTTCTCCTTTGGAGCAGCACAAATGATGAAATCATTATGGTGATCAGAGTAGGAGTTGTACGTTTGACCTGCAAAACAGAGGCTGATTGAATAAATAAATTCCATATAAGTCATATTATTTGGATATTGAGAACTTTGCTGAAAGGTTAAAGCTAATGCTAAAAGTATAGATCAGCAAACAATTTTATTCCCCATACAACGACAGTGAATGGGGACTGAGACTGTCACCCCAACACCTTCTTTTGTGAAGAAAGATAAGAGGGAAGAAAGCCATACAGTTTAGGAAGAACATGACATGAGATTCGTGAAGTCTGACACGAATTTTGATTAAATATTTATTTGTTTTAATTTAAAAGTATATTTTGCGAGTTGCGATCACTTTAAGTGCTATTCCTTAAGTCCATTCCGTACACAGTGGAAGTCCGTTTAGTCTTACCGTCATGAATTCATTTTAGTCTCTGAGATGATCATGTATTTCTGGTGCCTGTAATGTCTTGACTGTAAGATAAACAGGTTGTTATTCCTCTGCATGGCCAATGAATTTTGATTTCGTTCTCATCAACTTAGCACCATGCTGCATCCAGCGTCACAACACGACGCAGAGATTCGCGTTTATTTACCTATCTGTGTGTTGAGAGCTGCACTTTCCGGACAAGCGCTTAGAGAGAAACTACATTAAAATAAAATAAAATAAAATAAAATAAAATAAAATAAAATAAAATAAAATAAAATAAAATAAAATTAAATTAAATTAAATTAAATTAAATTAAATTAAATTAAATTAAATTAAATTAAATTAAATTAAATGCCAATACTTGTAATAATTTAAAGACTAAATTAGTAAACTCAGATCAAATAGCCTATAGTATATTTTAGCTCTTAATATTTATACTGTTAATTTTTCTATCTTCACTTGAAGGGGTAATGTTAGCTAACACCAATGCTAACATGTTGTTTTTGTTTAAATAAATCAAATGAAAATAAATATTTATTTATTTAATACTACTATTTATAATAAATACTATGATAAATAATACTATAATAATAATAATTATTATTAATTAATTATAATAATCAGATATGCCTGAGCTATGCAAACTGAGGTTTTATTGTTCTACCTGGTACATAAAACAAAACAAAACAAAACAAAAAATATATAAAAAAAAATATAACAAAGCCAATACTTGTAATAATTTAAAGATTAAATGAATAAACTCAGATCAAATAGCCTATATTTTTGCTCTTAATATTTATACTGTCCATTTTTCTATCTTCAATTGAAGGGGTAGCTTACACCAATGCTAACATGTTGTTTTTGTTTAAATAAATTAAATGAAAATATTTATTTATTTATTTATCTATCTAACTGTGTTTCACAGACTTACCTACATTGGTGCTCAGCCTGGAAAAGTTCCACTCATTTGTTTGACATCCTCCTATGTATTTCTTCTCAGTAGATTATGAGCCTCTTTCCAGGGGAGCCACCAAATCTGCTAATTATGGTCAACGAACGCAGTTAATGGCTTTGCTCAAGGGTGGTCCATATCTCTTTAACACATTCATTCGGACTGACCTCACCATTACCACCCATCTTGGGTGGCTTTTTTTTTTCATGGGGGCAAACAGACCCATGCGCTTCTGTAGAAGAAGAAGTATAGTGTTGTGTTCGACCCAATGCTATGCCTTCTGCTATGTAAACCATCTGTCATGACTGTTTGGGCTTCTTTATAAGAACATCTCCAGCAGCTGCCCTATATTCCCAGCGTTGAGAGAGGATGAACAGAAAGGTCCATTTTTTGTCTTGCAGTGTACCATATCCGAGCGGACAACACAGGCTTCCTCCTCATCTTTAGCTTGGAAAACAATAGCGACAAGCTGTTTCCTTAGGTTTTCATTCAGATATAGGCCCTCTTGATTGTTTCTACCACAAATATCCTCAATCATCCAGGTAAAATGTTTCCTGAGGTATAATGTTCAGATGGAGACACATCAGGCTTTTCCTGAGCAGTAAATGCCCTTAGACTTTCCTACAATAGGCCATAGTGTTGTCGTTTTCAGCTCCAGGCACTTATGTTGTCCCATACGGTAGTGTAAAGGGCATTTTTCATTAGCAGTGTGAGATGGCAGGCAGCAGAGACCACTGAAGTTCCCCCTCACTGCAGATGCTGAATGGGAGATTTGTCCTCTTCTCCCTGCGCTTAGGAAATTCTCCATCTGTGTTTCACAGACTTTCTCCCATGAGTCACTCAAATTTAGAAAGCCAAAACCAATTACTGCTATGCCAAAAATGACAGTTTCAACTTCATAAAATTGATTATGGAAATTTAAAAAAAGGATTTTGTTGATGTTATTGTTTTTATTCATGTATTTGCTTGAAGTTACTAGAATATGTGGAGACCAGATGTTTTTGACACAGACCTATATATGATTATCCTATTGAGAGGGACCCCCTTCCTAAAATAGACAGATATACATAGTTATACATCTCTTTTTTATATAAAACATAAAAACTATGGCTGTCAGTAAAATACATTTTGGTGATGACTTCTTACCAGCATTTAGAATGCTTTAATGTAAGATGTTAAAAGACGTTCTTTATTTATAAATAAATGAAGTAAGTAATAATCAAGGTTACAGGGAAATGAATGAAAGACTGAATGAATAGGGTTCTGGGGTAAATAAAAAAGATAAAAAATAAGGTTCTTTAAGAAATACAAACAAACAAACAAAGAAATTAATTAAAATAAAATAAAAGCGGGTTCTGGGGAAAATGAATGAATGAATGAATGAACGAATGAATGAATGAATGAATGAATGAATGAATGAATGAATGAATGAATGAATGAATGAATGAATGAATGAATGAATGAATGAATGAATGAATGAATGAATGAATGAATAGGGTGCTGGGGTAAAAAATTAAAAATAAAAGAGGGCTCTTGGATAAATTAACCCTTTGATGCGCAAGGATACCCCTTCTAATGCACAACATGGGTCTAAAAAGACCCGTATTCATTTCCTATGTTATTTCATGCATGGCTTGGCATTTTTTTGTTTCACCTTTTGAAATCCCTTTATTTGAGCATTTAATATTTCATGATCTATAAATTTCATGATTTATGAATATTCAAAATATCTTGTTTTCAATTATCACAAATTCATATTTTAATATTTCCTAGGTTTTGTGTTAATACATCAAGTTTACACACATGGGTCTAAAATGACCCATCTATGCAAGCGCGATAAAACAAAAGAATAAAGAAAACTTTTTGTTAAAATAGCCAATGTCACAGTTGTTTAGATCAACACATTTACTGTAACACTTGAAATATGTTTATTGGCCACTGTGTCACACATAACACACATATAACCCGATAACACTGAAATTGAACTGTAGTGTAGTGCAACTGTAGGGGGATCTCCCCGCCACCAATGTGCAGCATCCACCCGGATGATGCGACAGCAGCCATAGTGCACCAGAACGCCACCACACGATGGCTTATGTGACCGATAGCATTGATTTATGACCACTAATAAAAATTAATATGAAGGTACAAGGTTTCTGCCCAACAGCGAGAATATACTTGTATATATATAACTTTCTATTGCAACTGTTATTTTGTTGACCAAGCTATTAGATCAAATAGAATATGTCGACCGCAAGCTAATAGTATTGGACATGTTTCTCTTTTGCACTAGTAATGGATTTCAAGGTCAAGGTAACCTTAGCCTAAACGTTCAAATATTAGGCTATATCTAGATGTCTTTCACAAAATATCAAATAATTTCTGTGACAAAATAATGTATTAAATAAAACTTACATGCATGAAATATACAAAAGCAGCTGTGTTGAATTGTGAAATGTGTGGCAGGTGAATAGTTTTCTGCAGTAAATATATTTATAAATATCAAAGGTTCCAATATGGGTCATTTTTGACCCATGTGTAAAATTGATGTAGAAATACAAAAACCGTGTTTGTTTATAAAGTAAGAAAGGAAAAATAAATATAATGATTTGTGGAAATCAAAAACAAGATATTTGATGAATACCTGGATTAATAAATGATAAAATACATTTCTTTCAAATATTCAGCAAAGAAACACGAATACGGGTCTTTTTAGACCCATGTTGCGCATTAGAAGGGTAGTGACACAAAAACGATTTTTATTCGAAAAGTAAGAAAGGAAAAATTTAAATAAGGATTTGTAATGATCTAAAACAAGTTAATTGAGGAATACCTGGAATACTGAATTATGAAATTAATTTCTAGCAAAGATATAGAAAATTAAAACTATTTAGACCCATGTTGTGCATCAAAGGAAACAAATAAATAAAAATGAATGAATGAATGAATTCATTAATTAATTAATTATAGGGTTCTGGGGTAAAAAATAACAATAAAAAAAATAAAAATGAATAAATTGGAGTAAATAAATAAATAAAAGAGGGCTCTGGGGGAAAATAGGGTTCATGGGGAAATTACTAAATAAATGAATAGCCTAACCCTCTTGAGCTCAAAAACCCCTTGTCTTTTCTAACCACCAGCTCCAAAGATTAGACACCCTGAACAATAGTACATCTAACAGAACATAGTCAGAATAGACAGGGGATAGATGCTCAATAGGTTGTAATGTCTTTAGTCACATCATGTCTAAGTTTCTAAACACATGCATGATGCTGTCCAGACTTTTTTGACACAAGGACTTTTTTTGGATAGACATATTTGTTAACAACAGTACAACCTGTTAAATAGACTATACGCTTAACCTCGTTTTCGTTCACGAAAAATAAATTATGCGGTCTGGAAATCGATCAAAAATAACTGCTACTATTAGTTAACATTATATGAACATGAGTGATTATAAGACCATATGGGTTTGCATTCCTTTTCCTTTAGTCTTTTTCCAATATATTCCTCATTAATGCATATGTTCATATCAGCAGTAAAGCTTTACAAAATCTCCTTTCTGTCGAGCTGGAAATTTCAGCTGTGTGTGAGGTCTGTCTCAAGCAGATTCCAGAAGTTTTGCGTCATTTCCCCACGTCTCTGTTTGTGTGGTCAACATCACAGACAC